TATCTAGGAAGCTGTGTAAGGAAGAGCAAAAACTGGTGCTAAAAGTGCCCCGGCAACGATGAGTTAGCTGCACACCCGTTATCTCTGCTGTGGCAAACTGGACTATTTTTGTTGACCTTGTTCTACAAGATCCAAAAAATATAAGTTTTAATAGAGACACAAGGTAAGGGATGTTGAAAATGTATAGTTGTTTGAGTTTAAAAAACATGCTGAATATTTTTTTTTGCCACCGTGCCCACAAGCCTTTTCTGAATGATTCGAAATACTCAACTGCTGTGAAATGGAAAAAAATTTTGAGATGGGAGGAGTTAAAAAGGGGAAGCGGTATATATGCAACTTATTTGAATTGATAAGCTACAGCATACGCTAATACGTACTTGAAAAATGTTTGGGTTGAAATGTGCTGAAGTAATTGGGAATTTAGGTATTGACTCGAACCATGCCTAAATATACAGATAACATCTTATATTCAATCACACAGTTGAATGCAGGAATAAACGAGTGAAATTAAATGTAAGTGGATGAATAATTGAATACACTCGTATATACGCGGGACAATACGCATTTCCCTGGAAAATGTTGACCGTGAAAATCAGAACTAATGAATTTAATGGCAGAGCTCCTTAGAACATTTGGTTGTTTCTGAGATAGGATAAAATAGGGTGTGTAAATTAGTGAGATAGTTTCAGAGGGATCACAACTTTGTACGCTGAGATGCTGTTATTATTGTTTATGAACAGGACGTAGTGTCAGTGCAGACAGTGCGTTTGATGTGTCCTATGTATAAGGTTATTATAAGGTCTATATTTGTGGTAGCGTTAAATTCGTTTGTAATTTCGCGTCAATTTGCTGTTGATGTATTTTTAGTGCAGCATTTCCTAACGAGTGTTCATTATCATATAACTAGGAAAAGACTCAGATGCCACAATTTGTACAACGTTCAATGCAATGTTTAGTTAACATGCTCAATTGGCTCGCTTACATTTATATTAGCTCTTCTTATGATCATTACTGAATTAAATCTGAACCGTGAAGGACTTTTATTTAAAAAAGCGCTCAAATATTGGTGGGCTATGCGGTTATTGGCTGAATGGTTGTTTGCGACGTTTGCACACAAATCACGATAGAATTTAATGCACATTACAGTTACAGTTATCGTAAGTTCATCTGATCTCGCTTGTGCAAGTGTCACAGTCAACATGATTCTGTAGCAAGGTCGTGCATCTTATAGCGGGATGATATTCATCGATTTCAGTTACATTTTTTCATCCTGACAGTTTGAAAGAAAAAGATCTAGAAGTAACCGTACTACTTCTTTGTAAAATGATAGGCGGTCAGTCAATAGAAGTAACATGCATCGCAAACATAATACGGTCGGTCCATTCTGAACACGTTTCTATTATTATTATGACTAAGAATTAAGATAAAAGATAAATACTGTTTCATTTTACGCTGCTTGCTCGTCCAAGTTTTCCTAAAAATGCACTGACAATAAAAATTATTTCAATACCAACTGTGACCGTTGATGTTCATCAACAACTAGGAAAATTATAGATTAATTGTAACTTAATTTTTTCATAAATAGACCACCCTACCGCAAATATCAACAGAAAAAAGACAAATATGAAGAGAAAAGTAGTTCATAATTCAAATTCGTGGAGCTTGCAGCGAATTTGACGAAAATAATTATAACTCAATATTTAAAATTAAATTGCAGCGTTAAGATCGGAGTTCGGACAGAAAAATTACGACTTGTAATCCAGACATAATTCTTGAACGACAAAATGGTTATTGCCGTGCAATAAATAAGTTACATCCGTTTTATTTCTTGCCGTTATAAGGTCGCTCGGTTGCACGCAATTCAGGATACCAATTAATGCTCTTGAGGAACTGAATCGCCCCCAACCTATCTCACGCCCTTGGACGGATAGTCAACATGAGTTCCATAAATTGCAAGTCCATCAGCTAAAACATTAAAGCATTTTAACTAAAGTTGCTAATCTTACGCTTGAAACCGATAGTAACTTTTCGTCTCCATAATAATATTGTGTGCATGGAGCCCCCAATTCAATGCTTAATGTTACTTGATGACGCTAGTCTATCGAACCTAAAAGGATAAAGCTGGCCACATAGTCTTCAGAGAATCATTAAGCAACAAAAGGCTATTCACATAATCAATTGTGGCTGGACAAACTTTGGTCTACGTATTGAAATCGTCGAAGTCACGTAACTGCGAACAACTTGTGTTTTTAAGCGTAAAAATTTCGTTAATTGCTTGGTTCAGAAGGATGGCAAGCTTTTTTACCGGCCGACCTCGTCTTAGTGGGGTCGTATCTCTGCTAGGCACTTCTCCGTATGTATAATTTTCAAGTTTCTTGCTAATTTCTCAAGAAGCCTTTTCGACGATGGCTCCTATAACTTTAACAATTGTGAACTCAGAAGATTCTTAACGATTCCCAGAAGATTGCTTAGGAACTCTCATGTCAACTAAAAATGTTACAAATAGTTTTATATATCGAATTGAGCCTCGGAAAGCCTATAAGAGTAGATCCATTGAGTGTAGATCTTTAACTCCCAGAAAGGCTAAAATTTAGATTGTAGAGTCCCTATATAAAAACGTACGTAGGCCAAATATATTGCAATTAGTGTTTGGGGACGAAATATCAGTACGTCATATTTGCTCTCGATTCAATAACCCATATTTATACCAATCCTATTCTTCCCTACGTTTAAAAGTGATCTCATTCAAGCGTTACTATCCCCGCGCAGCGATGCGTGGCAATTGAACTTCCCATCCGGTAACACGTTCGCTAAATTGTGATTAATATTATATTTTAATCATAACGTCGATGATGATATATAGCAAGTACAGGTTGATCGTCAATGCTTGGCATGCATGATCAGATGCTTCTGAAGTTACTGTCTTTTGGATTTATACGCGAATAGCTTACTATGTTGTTAAAGGTTTGGGCCTGACATTTCGACACATGTTTGGTGCGCGAACATTCAGAGAAGTTGTTGAGATTAAAACATTAAGTATTTCTTATAAATGCAGCTATTAGCCTACGTAGCCTATAGCTGTCTGTCCGGCATCTCTGGGAGGGAACTCGGCTGGATTGTCGCGCTTTGATTGGGTAAAATGATGCGGACGGACTACTGACAATAACTTAGCTGGGTACAATGTCCTTAAGTAGGAAGTTGAAATACTTAAATTTCTCGAAATTTTCACTGCCAAGAGCTAATTAGAAATAGTGGAATCTTGGTGGAATAAAAACCGGCAAGGAAATTTATGATTTCTAAATGATTATCTCGAAATTTTAGGTAAAAAATACAATATTTGGACTAGGCAACTACTCTATATGATCAACTGAAATTACAGATTAGCAAAGATTCCATTTTAAATTGTTCGTATATAAAACACTATACAACCTTCGTTATTTTGCTCGAGAAACAGTGCCTATAACACATTGCAACTACAAGTATGTTCCTCGATTCACGCGTCAGTCAGGCCACCACAATGACGACCGCAGCGTAAAAATGCTTTCCATGGAAAGACAGACAGCAGAAGAGTAGCAAGTTTGCCTCTGCGTTGTTTTCACGCAATCAAACGTGCCGTGATCACCACTTGACGCTTCAGGTTAGGAAACATAACGCACATAACGTCAGATGGGATGGAAAATTTTCTCTCTTAACATTTTTTCTCTCATTAATAACTAATGATTGAGGAACTAATGAATCTGTGCAAGCTGTTTGTAATGATATAAACGATTGGTACATCATGTTCATGAAATTTTCGTTTGATGTAATCTTCTTAGGTAAAGAAATCCTAAATGAATATAGCATAACTATATTTGTGAGTGAAGACCTTTGCTTGAAATGTTCAGCCACAAAATTGCAACAAATCTAGTAACATACAAGCAAATTTGGAAGTATAAATTCTCCATACTGCCGGTAAATCTACACGAGATCGAATAGATCGCACCATCCGGAAATATAGAACGTTTTCAATTTTATTGCCACGAGGCGAACACAACATGAACTCTGAGATTCTCGCTGCGGCGTTAGCGTCATTCCAGCAGTAAACTGAGATGTGATCAACGGCGCATTAGCGGCATCAACGGAGAAAATATACTCGGTGTGATAATCATGAGCGCAATCAAGATCGATAGCACTCAACGATGAGATCAATGATCACTCAAGTCCCGTAAACATGAAGAATAAGAAAAATAGAAGCGACTACCGGAGCAGCTGTCTGCGTGTTCAATTTTACTGTAAGCTTCATTAGCCGTGCGCAGATGCTAAAGCTGTACGAGCCAAGCAATAATGCTCTATCGTAGAGCTCGACGTCTCCTTCCAAGATGAGGTCATCCTGTGCAATCTTTTTAGTTAACGCGGAAGCGGTATACCGTCTGCAAGTTTGTCGGTTGCGGCACAAGAAACGGCTTACATCGGTGTGCTCGGATTAGATCCGTGAGGAATACGTTTAAATAAATTATCCCGTTGTAATACAGAACGTTAGTTTTTTTCACTAAAAAGTGTATTTGGAAGTCTACTAGGGGTCAAATTTCTTTGTTGAAATGAGGACAAAGGTTTTGGATCAATTTAGGCTGGTGCTTGAATACGCTTGTGATCAAAGAAAAATCATTGTCATGAACCCCGTTTAATTCACACGTTATAAACTGTGAAAACTCTGAGATCGGCCGCATATACAACACGGCAAGAGAATGTTACAGCTCATTATGTATTCGCAGTTTGATGGGGTAAGAGACAAATACTATACAAATACATCGTTAAATAGCTTCATACTCTCCGTCGGTGAGATCGGCTCAATATACAAGCCTGCAATAAGGACACAATCTTCATATAATTTGTACTCACCCTGATATCAGTGAGTGAGTTGAAAGCATCGGTTGGGTACACGGATATATTTTGTACTCACCCTGAGATCAGTGAGTGAGTTGAGGGCATCGGTTGGGTACACGGATATATTTTGTACTCACCCTGAGATCAGTGAGTGAGTTGAGAGCATCGGTTGGGTACACGGATATAAGATTGTTCAGCAGGGACAGCGAGCTGAGTGTGTCGTTGACTCCCAGGAAGACATCAGCGCCCAGCGACTGCAGCAGATTGCGCTCCAGATTTAGAGCCGCCAGCGAGTGCAGCGTCCGGAACACCCCTGCGTTTAGGGGGGTAGAGGTGTTTAAATTAAAATAATTTAAATCATAATTAACAATAACAATAGGTCTTAGTACAAACTTGGACGAACGATCGAATATTATTTATGGAAACATACTGTGTTTAACTGTTTTTATGAATGCCTCCACTTTTCTTTGGAATGGATTTACCACTTTTTTCAATTGAAATTGTTTAAAAATATTTCGAAGTATTTCAAAAAGGGGCAGTGAAGATCTACAAAAAAAGCATTCATAAAATAGTATACCTTGCTAAAATTACACGGAGAGTGAGTTTAGTTCATGCAGTTTCTTGCGTATATATGGGACAGGTTGGTTACAATATATTACTTAACTTTTGTTCTCGCAGAAAGCATTTTTTTTAGAATTTTCATCCTGCTGACATAACTCTTTGTTTGCTAAAATGTTTAGAAATGTCTAATTAGTTCCTAGGAACAGACCTGGCGGCAGGACTTGTATTTCGTTTTGCGCGAGATCCAGGAAAGCTAAAGCTTCCAGGGAAAAAATAGCGCCAGGAACAGAATCCAGGCCCGCGCCCTTCAGGTTGAGGTTCTTCAAAGACTTTTCCAGCCCCTGGAAGCTGTTGGGGGAGAGGTGGAGGTCGTTGTCGCCGATCTGAAACGGAAATAAATATTCATGAAAAAGGGAATTTAATTGCGTTTCTATTGCTTGAACCTAATGAGCTTTGCGATGATCGTAATTTTGGATTTGTATCTGCGATTGAAAAGATTATTGTAAATGATGAATTTGAGATTGGCTAATGGACAAACGATTTTTTACCTTCTTTTTTTTTAACATAATTGCACTTAGCTTGTGACTTTATCATCATTCACTGCTATAAATAAATATTAAGATCGAAGTCACAAAATTAAATTTGAAAAAGGCGCTTTATATCCAATTTATAACTTTAAAGCGAATAATGATCGAAAAAATCGTGTTTTCGAACAAGGCACATGAATAAAACTATATTTGCTTGTAATTAAATGACCATATAAAATGATGTCACACCTCATCCACTGAAACGTCCCAAAACTAAAATAAAAACAGGTACACGAATTTAGCGAACATTTCACGGCTCATTTCCTTGATGCTCATGGCACCAATCTCAGTTATCCTCACCCTTAAAGTCTCTAATTGCAGGCCTCCGAAGGATCTCACCTTTGCAGTCACCCGAAAGAATCTCCCCCAAAGGATCTCACATACTAATCTCAGTTATCCTCACCTTTAAAGTCTCTAATTACAGTCCCCCGAAGGATCTCACCTAATCTCAGTTACCCTCACCTTTAAAGTCTCTAATTGCAGGCCCCCGAAGGATCTCACCCTTGCAGTCACCCGAAGGATCTCACCTAATCTCAGTTACCCTCACCTTTAAAGTCTCTAATTGCAGTCCCCCGAAGGCGCCGTCGGGTACAACGTTGATGTGGTTACCGGAGAGGTCCAGCAGACGCAGGCTCGAGAGGTGATTTAGAGCGGGCGAAGGCACACTTTTCAGGCGGTTGCCTTGAAGGTTCAGATTCTGCAGTGAGCTTTCGAGCCCAACGAAGGCTTGATCACTGATGTTGTAGATGCGGCAGTATGAGAACTGAAAAAAAAAACAAGCTCATTCTGATGGAAAACACTCGTGAAAACGGCTTTAAGATCAGTATCTAAATTGTCTACAATGGATAAACTTGTCCAGTGAATACTGAACAAGTATTCAATCATCATTGATACTTCGAGGTCTGTGGTTGAATTATGTGCTCAGATTCATCGCAGATGAGTGAGCACTAACAAGGAGAGGTTTCACGAATTACAGATCCCATAAGTTTTCTAAATCGACAAGTTCTCTCTAATAGTGATTTCTGGCGAGAAAAAAGCAGATAAAAGGGGAACAGAGAAATTGAAAATTGGAATTACTAAAAATCTGGGACAGGAAAAAATACGTACGAGCAGAGCACGTCCGGCTCATGTAGACCGCAGGTCAGAGCAATTTTATGCATTTAAAATTAAAGGAAGAAAGTGTACGAGTACAGCACAACTTTCAGAAAAGTATTCTATCTTATTCGTTTCCATCCCGGAACGTTCATCTTATTCGTTTACAGAAAACGTCTGTACTAGTCGTAACTCAGCATTTTTAGGCAAATCATTTTTCTCATTCATTTAACGTTTACATCGTTTTCGTGAGCATTCAGGAAAACAGTTTGTAATTTCCTTCACTCCGATGAGACGAAATAATAAACCTGTATAATATGAAAAATAATAAACTTTCAGCCCGCATTGCGAAGGGCACAATTAGATTTATTGAAATGGTAGGAATAAACTTTTATAAATTACGAAAAATCAATAAAGAAATAGATGTAATAAGAGAAAAATTGCAATTTCACTAAAATGAATCATTCAATTTAATGAAGTTAAAAATAAAAAGTAAACTTCTCATTATCCGATGAGATTTGTTCTAAAGTGTGGAACAATATATGAATAATTCGTTCAATTGATTGGTCGTAGCCTTCTAACATCATACAAATGCTACCCACGAATAACCTTGACCCTTGACACGATTTAGTGAAGTTAAATCTAACCTGTATGTTCTCAATGTGCAGGCCGTCAAATATCCTGCTGTTGAGAACCCCGATGTCCGAGTCGTTGACGTACAGCAAATCCATTTGGCGGCTACGGACCAGCTTATGTATGGTGGTCATGAGCAGCGGGAAGTTCGCGTCCGTGCATTGAATGGACAATTTCTGTTGCTCATCTGACACGCACACGCACATGTTGCTCAGCTCTGGGACAGCTCTCCTCCAGGGGCACTGCGCTGCTACCAGCCCCAGCAGCAGCGACATGGCAGTTAGCAGCAGCACGAGAGAACATCGAGCCTCCATCATTGATCTGGTCCTGAGACGTGGCAATAACAGGACGTGGTCAGAAATACGAAGATGAAGGTTGATTGAAATTTGCTGAAAATTCTAATAACAGAGCTCTGAATTTCCAGGACAAAATCTGCAGAGATGTTCACCCAGCACGATTCATTTTGTATTACATTAAATTTATTTACTTTTTAGTCTCCGTGGCGAAACAAAAGACTCATAAAATACTTCTTCATATTTTATTCAAGTCATTCTTGATGATATAATAGAACCTGTGAAAATTTGATCAGTTCAAAGAATTATTTATTAATTTTTAAAATGCGCGATGAAAATCCTCCTTTGTAAAAACCGAACCCTAAATCCAGTTTTTACAATAAAAAAAAAAAGTAATAGTCTCATTGCAAATTCATGCCAGGTGTAAATAGAAGATACGTAATACCTTATAATAAAGTATAAAAAGTGAAAACTACTTTTGTACAGAAAAACACAGAGAAGGTGCCTCAAATAACAATTGCGTTGCGGTTGGAATTTTTTTTAACAAGCGCTAAACCTACGCATATGCATATGTGCAATGTGCACAGTGCTCGGCCATAGTCGGCTGTCTCAACAAGATCGGGAAGGAGTGGTGCATTTTTGTGGTTCCCATTAAATAGTTCACATCAATATTAAACCCGAACGTAAGTCAATATAAACAAGATCATTCATATTGCATAAACTGAACTTTATCACCTGCATTTACGAGAAAACTGGAAAGTATAAAGCACGGGATAAACATAATAATGTACCGACAGGCGGGTATCCTCGCAACTCATTACCTTACCGCACGCGAGAAAGAAAGTGTTGCGTGTTGCTCCCGTCTTAACATCTCGCGCGAGATTTTCCTCAGTCTATCAGAAAACATTCAATGATACAACAAGCGACGCAGTACACCGATTAGCATATGCCAAGTGCTGCAGTGTGTGTTTCTCCCCTGATAATTCATTGAAACTTTCTTATGATGAATGATGAATTATATTTTCAAGTCAAATTCGAGCTCCGAAATGCGGTAAATTTGTTTCATGATGAAATCCTGTGAACTGATAACTTTAAAAGATTTTTCAGTTTACAATTGGGTTTAAAAATTATTGCCGCAGAATATTTACTCAATTTATTCAGTTAACAAATGAAGCCTTCACTGCATTAAAAGGTGAAACCAATGCAAGCTAGCATACGTTATCCCGCTACTGGTGGCTCCATTGACACAAATACTATTGCTCAAGTTTAGCATTCGAGCAAAAAATTTAATGTATCATTTTAGCATGAAAATTTAATGCATCACACAAAAAATTAGTTATAAACTGACAAGTTGCAAATTTAATTAAGCTTAAAAAGTTGTTAGAAAACAAAAAAAAAGGTAACCCGATCCCAGCAATTAGTTATTTTCGTAAAAGGGACTAGAACGCATAAGAATTTTTCTGATTAAATGAGTAACAGGAGCAAAATGCTTCATCAGTACATTCCTCCAGCAGCCAACGTATCTCAAGAGCAGTTACTTGCACGACATAACAATTACAAGTATGAGAGGATGGATTTGCTATCAGTCTCGGCAGCGGAAGGAACACCTCTCCTGTCCTGCTATACGACGCTGCGTGTATAGATAACGAGAGTAATGGGTTCAGAGAAATGTATCGCCTTCACCGGATACGAAACTTTTACTTGTAGAATTTGATATTGTGTGTCAGTGGGCCATCAGATAATGGCGGGCATTCTTATTAAATTTGTATCGACAGAATACCACTTATGAGAATAATAACTGATTTATAATTTTATTCTGCTAAAAAATGGTTACTTAAAAATTGTATTGGAAACTGAGACAACTTTGGCCGAACTAATACCCTGTTATTGATAGCGCACCTAGGAATTTTGAATTTTATTTAAAAACTCACGACAAGCGAGGTAATTAATGCATGGACATGTAAAAGGTTTCTGCAAGTTTTAATATTTATTAATGGCTGAAACAGCTTTTAAAAAGCAGTCGCTTTGCCCGCCACTGAATGCTCTATTCAAATTGCTAGTGTCAGGCCCGGGCGGTGAAATTCGAAAGCCACAGGCCACAGTCGAGGAATTTTTTGCATTGACGACCTGACGACCGGCGACTCAAAGTCAAGGGCGCTAGTCGACCGCTGATCAGGTGCCTACACCTGGTGACTGGTAGTGCAGCTGATCAGGTGCCTACACCTGATGACTGGTGGTGCAGCTGATCAGGTGCCTACACTTGATGACTGGCGGTGCAGCTGATCAGGTGCCTACACCTGATGACTGGCGGTGCAGCTGATCATGTGCCTACACCTGATGACTGGATGACTGGTGGTGCAGCTGATCATGTGCCTACACCTGATGACTGGCGGTACAGCTGATCATGTGCCTACACCAGATGACTGGCGGTGCAGCTGATCAGGTGCCTACGTTTGACCAATAATTCATGTAGAGGCTGTATCAGTTTAATTCCAACATTCTTAAATTTACATTCAATCTGTCATCTTCCTTTTCATAACTTATATTTATTATCTTTTAAATGATAGCGTATTTCATTTGGATTTATTACGTATTTTTAGCAAATCAATAACCAATAACATGGGAATTCCTATCAAAGAAATCGGCTACTATTTGATCTGCCGTTGAATGAACTGATTAATTACTTCACAAAATTTAGAATATATGCTTACTTAAGTCACAAGACAAATGAACTCGCTAATAGTTAAGATGGGATCAATTGCAATATCATTGCGATTGCTCCAGGGAACCCTGCAGTTGAACGTACACGTGATGCCTGACATAGACGCCAACTTGTGTCTCCTTAGTTCAATTTGCCATTTAAATTTGCCCTTTAATACCAATTAATTGATTTCATTGGTTTCAGATCTACAGTACGAAGAAGCTTGAGAACAACGGTAGCATTCACATGTTAAAAATATTCTTGTGTGATCGTGAAACGTCTTCAATATCTATATCAGTCTTCAATATCCAATATATGTTATCAGTCTTCAATATCCATTACCTACCAGCTAAATATTATCAAATCAAATAATTAAGATGGCTTTTCATGGTTCAATCAGAAACCGAATATCGTACACTCAGAATAGCTCCTTTGTGATGTAGTAAACTGGAAAGGGCATTTCCTAGCCTCCAAAATAAGCTCAAATGACCCATAAACGCAAGTTTGAAATATCTTCACTCATGCTATACTCACTAACAGCTCCTCACACTATAATTTGGAGTTAAATGAAGGTATCGTCATAATAGTGAGTACGTGTTGATTATCATGGCGTAAAGCGAGCAGCTTTTAAAAGATCAACGTTCTTGTGACTGGTCCAGCAATAAAAGGTTACAGGCAGTTCACCTTGCAACAGTCAATGTAAAGCAGACCTTGCTCGAGAAGCAAAGACTGCATGCTTGATCTTTCATACCGCGATACCTTCGTTCAGCTCACATAATGCTGGTTTTACCGTTTCTTATTGATTAAAAAATGGTTTAAGATTCGAAAATAAGTGCTTATGCAAAGCATTCCACATCCCAAGTCAGATCGACTTTTAATTGATGTAGAATACGATCAGGACCATGAATAAATAGTAGAAGAGAAACGGTTTAATATGAATTTTATTATCACTAACAGTTGTAGTATATACTGAAATTATCTCCAGGATAAAAGAAGACGTAATCAATAGGCACCAGCTGATTGTGATTCAATCTCTCACCAATAATAATAATAATTGATGGAAAATTACCTCCTAAACCTTGGTTGCTCACGAAGAAATCAATTATACTGTTTTTCAGGGCAGGAGGACTGGGACGTCACCCAACGAACGGACCACGAGGGAAGTAAACCGGAGCACAGAATTTGGTCATAGGGCTAGACCAGGTCAAAAACTGGATCCGGTTTACCAAGCGAAAAACTCCGACGCATATGCGAGAAAAGAAAATAACAAAAAAATAGTAAAAAAAATAAAATCTGGACCAGTTAAACAGCTAGGAATCTGTTTTCCGTGTTGAGAATTCATGTCGATTCGAATACCATCGACAGAGTCGGTGCATCGGAAATCGGAATGCACCTTGACCACTGGAAGAATCTTACCAAAACTATGATGATAATGTTTGTATATTGATCAATAGACACAGTTAAATAATTAACGGAAACCACATACGTACCGTCAATGAAATACTCAAACCAATCATTATTTATGCCAAATGCCCGCTAATAAACAAAATTAAACGTTCGAGCTTCCCTCAGATGATTAATTCTGTCTCACCGATGATTCTCGCATAATCTGTATCTCTGAAGATGAAGAAGGTAAACGGCATCATTCAAACACCCAAAAATCCCTTAGCATGCAATGCATGGATTGCCAGCTAGATCCCGGCGTTAAGAAGCTTTTAACTAGTCATCCCGGGATTAAATAAAATAATTCCAACAGTTCCGCTATCATCCGATATCATAAATAAGCTTCAGGATCCATGTACCTCTCAAAAAGTTGAGAAATTGACGCAAAACTTCTTCCATAATTAAAATGAGCTGTCGAGCGCCCTACAGGCAACTTCACGCTCTGCGTGCCGCCGGACAAACAATCTTGCACCGTTGCTGCTGTAGCGGTCGCAGCTGCCTAGAAGTTAGAACCTCCTATATTCCTCGTCATGTTCTACACTCGCAACAGTTATTGCTGTCCAAGATTATTCCTTTGCCGCATGGTTATATATGTCCAAATATTACCTTAATGAAGCAATATTATCTTACAGTAGGTTATTACGCACTTCTGTAACAATATAATAATGAGCTCCAGAGTACGATAGGTGTGCTGAGTACAGTGCTCTCAACTATGATGTACATACTGCGATGTAGTGCTCATAAGTACGACAGATATTAGAGTGCTGTGTCGAGTACAGTGCTCTCAAGTATGATGTACATACTGCGGTGTAGTGCTCATTCGTACGACAGGTTTTAGAGTGCTGTGTCCAGTACAATTGCTGTGTACTAACAGTGTTTTCAAGTACAATTTGCGCGGCGTTCAAAACTCTAAGCGTAATTTCATCCTCTGTTGGCCACGCGTGCAGGGAGAAGGGCGACCAAACCTAACCTAACCCATCGCAAGAAGCACAACTGCGCGGGGATCGCATGCCCGAAGTTTGAGACGAGAAGTTGCTTGTGACAGAGAAAGTATAGTGAATGGTGATGCATTTAATTTGCTAGAATTAGGTATGAATAAGTCAGTTGAGCTTTGAGTAGAGAAATTACTTCTTGGTATTAAAATAAACTTTAATTATGATTGAGTTGTGATGGCTCTTGAAAATTACGTTTTCTGAATGCCTTGACTAGGATTGGAAAAATCGATGATGCGAGATAGTTCCCACGAATCGAAAATAAACATTTTTTTTAGAGATTCCTAAGATTATGAGCTAGATTAAAGAAAGTAAATAGTTATATTGATTAAATTGCTACTGAAATACATTTGTAGAGATCAATTAATAAAAGGTCAAATTTGTCTAAATGTGAACACAATATTACAGCATTGAAGTTGGATTTTGATCATTAATGTTAAATCACAGAATCGCACAAAAGTGTTGTAAAATTAAAAAAGACAAGAAATGGACAAGAAACTCTGCGTATTTTTTGCAGAATAGTAGGACATACCTAGCTCCAATAATAATTTATTTTTATTTGGGACTGCACTATGATAAAGCCTATAGGTGACTCAAAATTTATTCGCACAACGCTCAACATCGCACATTCAGTTGTTCATTGCACCAATCAAAGCCCTAAGAAATCGAAACTGATTCGTATGTTCGGATGCTTGTAAACATTTTCTCAACTTTAAGTAACTCAGTAACAACAATAGTAACAAAGTGACATGTTTTTTGAAGGCACTAATATTAACATGGATATCTTTCTCCCATCGGCATCCCTAAAATAACCCACCACCGAACGCTTATTCTGAGCTTAGATGTTATTGTTGCAATACTCAAACAATTCGCAGTAATTACCCTTTCGAACGAATTCTTCCACTTGACGTCAGCGAGTCCCACTCAAGTACGCAGGGTCTCACAACCACACTCCACTACGGCAGCATCGCAACTGAAAACAGTTGCTGCAATGCTGCTTAAAATGCTGCAGCGAGACTATGAACTTAGGAAGGTCGGTGAAAAGCCGCTGCCTGTAAGAGGCATGCATGGGCCGTTACATTCATGGCTGAATTAATACAACCATGTATTAATTGTTAATACAACCATGTATTAATTGTTAATACAATATTAATACTAATACAACTGTGGGTCAACCTTGTATTAATTCAACAATGGTTACATTATACTTCAACCCTAATGCGAGGTATATATTAGGGACGTATGGATGTCTGATGAGGTTAGGATGCCTACGAGGTTAAGAATCTTTTGTGGGCGAAAATTATTGGAATATCTGCCAGCGTAGTTAGAAATAGTCCGGCCGCAAGACCGGCCGTAAATTTGTCCGAGACGTTTTGGTGCAGTATAGAATAGTAATGTCAGCACTGAGGAACTGGCCAAGTTTGGCCTGTTGCCGATTCTCGTGTTTTTTACTAGTCACTTGGAGATCTGAGAACTGGCCTTTTGACCAGATCTATCCAAAACTGAAGTTGAAGCTAAGAAGCTGCTGAAAACCCACCAATTAGTGATCCTGAACTTGAACATTAGGCCACCGTAGCATCAATAAATTTACTTAGTTGTCTTACTTACCAAATGTACATCTTTGCAATTTATGGTAGTTTTTAAGCTGAAATTCAATTGAATTAGTATTTCAACGGCAAAATACGCAATATAAATTGGTTGATGAACAATATGATGATTTTCCAGCCCTCAGCTTTTTTGGCCACAAATGAAACGTTCAATTGCCAAAATCTTCCTAGCGTTCGTTCTCATATTTTTGCTACAAAAATAATCATCCCCCGAAGGTTGGCTTTAAGATCAGCTTTTCCAAAGTTAGATAAACAATTGGGTACCCGACAATAAATAAAAGATTAAGCCATTTAATTAAATGGATTTATGAACCATAATCACCAGCATGTGGACAGCCTCCCCAATGACATCGTTGGCGCTCCAAGTATGAACGCGTTCAAGAACAGACTGGATAAAGCTATGGAAAAATATATGTTCAGATTTGAAATGCCTAGCACCACATCGAACCCGGTGGAAGTCTATTAGCTACTTCAAACTATCGTCAGTCATGAAAAGATCCGGTCAAATGAAACGATATTAGATCTTCTGCGAACAAGGCACGAAAAGGAAAAGAATCGGCGACAGGCCACATCAGGCCTACACTTCAGCGCCGAGATCAATATGTTATGTTATAACTGCAACATTGACCGTTGTCATTGTCACAGCTCAATACATTGTCCAAATAAAGTCCGATAAAATGATCAAAAGAACTGTGTAAAGTATAGTGTTCATTATAGCCGCATAAACCACAACAAAAAGAGTGCATGACTGAGGCCAGCTTTGTCCAACTTCACACTTTAGCTCACATTCCTTTGCGTAGGAAAGAACGCTTTAGTACACCTAGCAGCCTTTGAATTCAACTGCTTAAACTAAGCTTTAGCGTCGTATGTCCGCAGTCACCTTAAGCTTGCCAAGTTAAGCACGATAATACTGCATGTAGCATAACCTCTTCTGAACTAACCTATTCACGTCACGACATTTCTCCGTTCAAAACAATGAGAGTGGACCTAACCTAACCTCAATGGTTGCAAGAAAGAAGTTAGAGAGGTGGGGGCAAATGAGCAAAGTATAGCGGCTAGACCAGTGGTTCCCAAAGTGGGCGATATCGCCCCCCTAGGGGCGGTGGAAAGATTTTGGGGGGCGGTAAGGAAGAAGAGGNGTCGTATCTCTTAGGCTTAGCTCTAAAGCTAAGTGTAGTTATTGCATGCTGAGCCTGGGCGTTGACTCCAGGGCTTATTTAAGGGTTAAATTTGTGGCCCACGGGTGATTCCAAAAAATTTGAATTTGTGGCCCACGGGTGAACCCAAAAAATTAAAAAAAAAATCTATTCCGTATGCAGAATTGCTTCCAAAGCTCCATTTCGAAAGCCAAAGCTGACTGTTCAGAGGACACCGTGAAATTTGTTGAGACGATACTCATCATGTCCATTCCAAGGATGAATACAGCACGGTTGAAGTACTCTCATTTATTGAGAAAAATAATATTCCTTCAACTGCGTAAGTATAGTAACACAAATTCGTTACCAGAGAAGCCGTTGACATCTTAAGCTCTACAACAGAACAAACTCTTTTCACGCAAGCACTGGAAAGGGTTAACAAAACAGAAAGTAAAAATTTTTATTTTGTTTTCTGACATAAACTAAAAAATTTTTCGTTTCCTTTCTACTTTTAATAAAAGCGGCAACGATTTGTACGTAAGCAGGAACTATGTTCAATGCATTAGATCGTACATGTAAAATAATATCGCAGTGCAGCACAAGCCAGGATAGGCTCAGTACTCACGACGGCCACTGCAGAGTAGACCTGGTCAGCTGCATTTATAGTTTCACAGCACTGCAGCACAAGCCAGGATAGGCTCAGTACTCACGACGGCCACGGGCCACTGCAGAGTAGACCTGGTCAGCTGCATTTATAGTATCACAGCACTGCAGCACAAACCAGGATGGGCTCAGTACTCACGACGGCCACTGCAGAGTAGACCTGGTCAGCTGCATTTATAGTATCACAGCACTGCAGCACAAGCCAGGATAGGCTCAGTACTCACGACGGCCACTGCAGAACAGACCTGGTCAGGCCAGGATAGGCCAGTCCAGGTCCGAGTCCCCACTATAATCGTCGGAATCAAAGCTGGGGAAAGCGTTCTTCTGATAATCATCGTCGTTCAGGTCGTCATGCCAGACAAAATATCTATCTGGGCCCGAGGGCACAAACTGCTGGAGCAGGTCGTGGCTGAAGTCCAGCCACTCGTAATCAAATCGATGGGATCCGACGCGCTCGTAGATGTACGGGTACGAGTTCAGCTTGTGGCCTGAAACAAAAACACATTCATGCACATCAGAACGCTACAGAACTATGTACTTGTGGTGTTAGTTCTTTAATGCGATTCAGGTTTTGTAATTAGCGAGACGCTCAAAAGGGAGCAAAACAAAAAGAAATGAACCCTTAAGTAAACCAAAGAGATTAAGCACATTCGAGCTAGTCCGTACTATCAACAATATTTAAACAATGTATGCGAGAAAACATTTATAGATGAACACATCAAGTCAATAGCAGAGAAAATGCCTTTTGAAAATGTCACATAAAATATCAATTATCACTACTTATCCGAAGCGAGTTAAGACCGGTCACTTTCTTAGCCACCAGTTCTGGTAAATGGGAGTAGTATACCTTTGATTTTGATGACAGGATCTGCGAAGGTCAGGTGGTCGGTGCAGCTGACATGCAGCACGAGGGGCTGGTCGTGGTCGAGACACTGTGAGGGGACCTGTGACCTGTTCTCGTGTGACCTCATGACATGTTCTCTTATTCTGTGTGACCTGTTCTCGGTCAGCGCCTTCCTGCGTAGCGCAGCGAGCTCCTGGGCCGTGGAGAGATCCACGGTCACCATCGCGGCGCCGATCTCGACGAGCTGAACGTGGGCCACGAGCCTACAGGGCACCACACATGTAGGGAGTTTGTTTGAGGCAGCAGCAAGGAGTTTGTTTGAGGCAGCAGCAAGGCGACTACCGGCGAGGAATTAAACAAGTGTGGGGACACAACTACACAACAACTTCATGTGTACATAACTGTAAAGAAGTAGCTTACGAGAAAGTAGAACGAAAATGCGACCAGAAGATGGAATGAATTCTTTGCCTTATTTGAGCGAGAAATTTGAAAACAAATATAGACAAGCTTTAAAGCTAGATCTAAAAAGCTAGAATTTGCATTTTAGATAACAGCAATGGAGTGTGCTGGAAATATAAACTGCTTTTTAGATATTTTTCTTCGATTAGAATACACATGATAAAATCTTCTCATTGACCGGTCAATTTAATTTTTTTTCTGCAAGGATAGATTTTTAGCCATTTTTTCTAATTCAGATTGCGTGCATGGGACAGAAATGCCCATTAATTACCCACCTCATTTGATTGCTGGACAACGGAAATACGTGCCACCTAAGAAACTGTACAAAATCAGGCACTTGATTTCACAAAAATAAGCGAGAAACAAACATTGACTCACAGTTTCAGCTGATCCAGTGAGAATTCATTGCTTTTAATAAAGACTCGCTGAAGCTTTGGCATGCGCAGGAGGCTCTTGTACGTCTCATCGTCCAGAGGGACGGAAAGCAGCGTTAGGGACTTCACCGATGGCGACGCCAGTGAAAAGTCTAGTGTGACGAATGTATTGCTATGGAGAACCTGGGGAGAAAAAGTCAGAAAATACAAAATCAATGTTCAACTCCAAGTCAAAATAATAATTGAAGATTTAGTGTCATCAGTGATAGCTTGAATAGACATTACAAAAAATGTAATATAAGAAATTAACTTTGACCTGTCATCAGGCAAGGCTAAATAACGCTTGCAATGAGGAAAATTCCTGAAACACCGTCTACCTCACACTATATGAAAATATTGCAAGACCCCATGCGAAACCGCAATGCTTACGCAAAATGAAATACAATTAAGACATACTATCAGGGATTCCACCCCTTTAGAGAGGGCGGATTTCCGCAAGTAATGGCAGGAGCGAAACGGACGCAGAAGCACGGAAAATCATGTCATCAACATTCAAGATCTCACGAGGACTCCGACCGCTCGCCGACAGTCACGGGATATGGAAGACAATTAAATAATGGAAATCATGTATATAAATCCAGTTCTGTAAATAAGGTGAAAAGTTTACTCATACATCAAGGTGGAAGTGCACAAAAAGTTTTGAAATGTTTCTACACGAACTCTGATTCCGTTTTGAACAAAAGAAATGAACTGTTAACTGTGATCGGAAACGAGTGTATAGACATTATTTGTATTACAGAAACACTCCCTAAAAATAACGGGGGAAAAATTTTACCAGTTGAATTTCAGTTGCCAGGTTTTGATTGCTTTCATAATTTAAAGTAAGGTGATGGAATCCGTTATGAGGGATAGGATTATCGATCACTTGACTGTTAACCATCTTCTATCAGACTGTCAGCATGGCTTTATTGCTGGCAGTTCATGCACCACTAATCTCCTGTCTACCTTGAATAATTGGACTCGCCTGCTGGACGAAAGGGAGCCAGTGGATGCACTGTACAAAAGGGAGTAGTGGATGCACTGATTTTGCCAAGGCATTTAATGGTGTTCCGCATGAGCGACTGTTACGTAAAGTGAATTCCTTGGGAATAGAGGGAAATGTACTCCAATGGATCAGGAATTTCCTAGTAGGCAGAAGACAACGAGTCAGCATTAACGGAACCGCGTACCGAAAGGAAGCGTTCTTGGGCCTGTTTTGTTTGTAGCTTTTATAAACGATCTACCAGAAGTAGTGTCAAGCGTGAGCTCCATCTAAGCCGATGACACAAAAGTTTATAATACAGTTAAGGATGCGTCAAATAAAATGCAACTGCAAAATGATCTCGATAGTTTAGTTGATTGGGCTGAGGCGTGGCAGCTGCGTTTAAATACTGACAAGTGTAAGTACCTCACCTCGGCAAGAACAATGAACAGCAAGCTTACAGCAATGAGAAGACACGGTTGAAACAAGAGGGTTATGATTGAGAAGTCTTGCGTGGAAAAAGATCTTGGAGTTTGGGTAGACAAGGAGCTAAAAATTTCTAGGCATATTGAAACACAAGTTAATAAATCCAATTAAACTGCTTGGGCTGATCAGATGCTCCTACGAGTACCTAGATATAGAAATGATGAAGCTGTTGTTCACCTCTGTCGTGCGCCCGAACCTAGAGTTTGGAAACGTTATGTGGTCACCGAGACTTGAAAAGGACAAAAAGTTAGTTGAGTGTTCAAAGACGTGCAACAAGGATAATTCCAGGCTTAAAGGGCAAGTCTTATGAAGAAAGATTGAAGATTATGAAGCATCCCAGTCTCCGTTATCGTCGCCTGCGTGGTGACTTCATTGAAGTTTACAAGTATACTCATGGTTTGTACAAGGTCCCAGAAGGATTACTAGAATTTGAAACAAGAACCAACACCAGGGGCCACAGCTACAAACTAAAAAAACTGCGGTGCAACTTATCCACGCGACAACATTTCTTCTCGCTTCGAGTCACCGACATGTGGAACAGTCTCCCTGAAGATATTGTTGACACTCCGAGTATGAACGCGTTCAAGAACAGACTAGACAAGGCCATGCAGGAGCATATGTTTAGCCTTAAAAAGCCTCGTATCCTACGGAACAACTGAAATCTAGAAGCGATTTTAAATCTGCCGTCCGTTGAAAAGATTTGATCAAAAGGCCAAGAAAGGTACAAGAATCGGCGACAGGCCTATCCAGGCCTATTCTTCAATGCCGAAGATACAATACTATATTATACTATTATTTGTTGATGACGAGCAAAATAATCCTAAATATATATTTAATGTAATGACATATGCTTGAACACGGATACATTTTTGTTCACGGATACATAGACCGTCATCAATGTTATTTGTTACTACGTGACTGACAAAGAGAGTTACCGTTTTTAGACAAAGGGTGAGCTTTCCATCCATCGCTATATAATCACTCGTCAACGTTATTCACACCAAACTCTTTGCCAAATGCTACCTAATCAATCATCAACGCTATTTACAAAAACAGGCATGGCAACACGAGTTACCTTCTGTAGACAAAATGCTAATGGTAGTTTCGAGAATAGTATAATATCAGGTTCAAGGTTTCCACACAAATGGAAGGCTCGGCATAGTCGTATGGAGCATAAATCTTCAGAAGAAACAAATTGTATGAGTGTCAAAATTAGTCAAATGCTTATATGTTTAAAGTTAAAACTTTTAAATTCCAATTAAACGAGAATAAATACTATCGCAGGCTCTTTATGATTAAGTTCCAATTTTGCGCCAGACAAACATTGCACCCAAATGATTCAGAGCAGCACAATTTAAAGCATGTCCCATGTACACGATACTAGAAATTAATATTTCATGCTATTGAATTTTGGTTGGAATGTCGTGTGTACACTTTGTCATTACAAAATCGAAAAGAACTAACAGCCATAATAAAACATTTCCAAGAATTATTCGTGCATCCTCAAGTGAGGACATACAAAATTATCGAGATGAAAACAAGATTCCCTGGGCCTGAACTCGTTTAAGAGTTCAGTTTTCAGTTCCAGAAAATCTGAGTGCAAGCTTTGAGAATTTGATTAGTGATTTTTGACAAATAGTAGCGTCTGTCTCTAAACAAAGTAAAAATAGTTTAAACAAGAATGCGTTCATATAGCACTTCAAAACTTCAAGTAAAAGGAATTTTGAAGATGTCTACATGAAAAAAAATCTGAATACTATACTATGAAGTTAAGAAATCATCAACGGCTGTGAATATTTTCAAAAGAAAATATAAATAAGGAAGATTTCAACTGAGTAGTAGTAGTCGTCGTAGTAGAATGGTTTGCTAGCGCTTCAGCTATTTAGCTATCTCGCACCGAAAGTCATGTTGAACATCACCAAAGAGGTGGAAGGTCTCAATTATCAAAAGCTTCTCAAATCAAAAATAGGTCATCACCCACAAGGGGCAGAATTTCTCAGATGTCCAGCCCGCTGAAGCTGGCTCGAAAGAAGCAGCGTTAGCATCTCAAAGAGACGAAGTGACAAGGAGGGACAGGTGAAAAGTAACAGAAACTAAGACACTCGAACAAGAGGTCGCTTACACGGGACGTCGGCCGCCCGCACGAGAGAGACAGAGAAGGGAAATGTAAGGAATCCTGCCTACATAATAACTTAACCCCACAACTGAGACCTACAGTCAGACACCGCGGGCTCAGCGGTGGGGCGCTCAGGAACAATCCCCCTAGGAGCGCAAAATCCCATAGAACTTCTGACGCGCACAGAAACGCGTCAGGAGTCCCCCCTGAGGGGGCCTGCACGAGAGAGACAGAGAAGGAAAATGTAAGGAATCCTACCTACATAATAACTTAACCCCACAACTGCGAACTGCAGTCAGATACTTCAAGCGTAGCGGTGGGGCGCTCGGGAACAATCCCCCAAGGAACGCGAAATCCCATAGGACCTCTGACGAGCAGACACGCGTCAGAAGTTCCCCCTAATGTTTTTCAACTGAAAGTTTTCAATTCTGGCCCCTTGCAATTTCATTCCCGCTTGGACTCGCAACTCACATCATAAACTGTTTCTACAGATAACTCAATGAAGAGATCCTCGATGTTTGGCTGCGATTCCTTGAGAACGTACTCAATGTCACACTCATGATCAGCAATGAAATGCAGCACCTGTGACAACAAAATGGCAGTTTTGTCACTTCAGTAAAACATCAGCAATGAAAACTAACAATTTCATCAGCCCGCACAGGAATAGTATTTAATTAGGTTGCACAAATGCGTATTAGTTACTAAATAAATCTTGGCAGTCACGTCTCATATCTCAACAACGAATTTTTGCAGGCATTCAACAATTTCCCACCTTCAAGTTATCGAGTGCATGGAAATTGAGGGAATCAAGATAATTGGTGCAATCGAGCTGGAGTTGCACCAGCGCCGGACACTTGCGTGCCAAGGAGGAGATAAAACGTGCTGGCCCCACCATTCTGCACGCCAAGGATGTCAAAAAATTTCATAACCTTAAGTGAATTAATGCAAGAAATTAAACAAGTAACAATACTCAACTTTGCATGGAAATGGAAGTCTTATCTATGTACTACCTAAAATTACTAAGAACTAAAAAACTCGGACTACATGAAATGCAACTCAGATATTCACTCATGATGTTCAGACATGCACTGCAACTGTATGTAGGGTCGTTGAAATATATTTCGTGGTGATTTAGCAAGGAGAATGAACAGCTTGATTGACTATACTTAACTAGCCTCAATTTAAGAAATAGTAACGAATATTAAGAGAATTTCTCAAGTCAATTTAGACGTGGTGATCTCATTTAAATTAGTTCTAAAGGAGGCTTTAGACCATTGGTTCCCAAAGTGGGCAGTACTACTTCCCTGGAGGCAGTGGAAAGATCTGGGGTGGGGACGCGGCGAGGAAGAAAGGGGCGGTAGGGGGCGGCAGTCCGAAGTCTCAAAAGTTCGAACGTTTGTTTGACCATTTGTACTCTAACGCGTGCACTTACACGGCTCCCAGCGATGGGGTGTTCCACCTAGATCTGGGTTTTTTAACCTCTCTTGTATTTCTAGTGTATATTTTTGAAAATATTTAAAATAATTGTTTTTTGTGTGTCAGTGCAGACGCCATGTGAACATTATGTGCCTGTGGAGGGCGCTACGAATTCAATGGGGAGCCGAGGGGGTGCCGGCCTGTAAAAGTTTGGAAACCACTGTTTTAGAAGTTAAATTTTTTTGAATAAAAAGCTTGAGTTAATCGATTGACTCAAGCGTGATTGACCGAGTATGAACACGTATGACTCTTGAAGCGAGGCTTGATGGTGATCGATAGAGTTTGATTGGTGGAATTGATTGATAGGAATATTCGCATCCAAAGCCGTATTCGAAACCATTGCTCACCACCAAAATTAACAGAGCAGCTCATGAAAAACGAAGGAACAATGTGCACTGATCATTTTTCTTACGAGAAGAAAAAGTTAATGAAAAAATTGAAGGCCTGATTGAGGAGGGTAGGGGATTGAATCAATTGTTTGATCGTTTAGGGACTCATTTACAAGACTAATAGATTCAAATGGTTCTCCATTAGTCATGGTTTCATAAGTAGCTATTCCATTTCACACACAAATTTCTTCATTCATCACTGCAGGAATATGAACATTTAAATAATTTGCCTTATGTTACATACATATCAAACCCTTTACGAGATATATTCAAGTTTGTTATCAGAGAAACTATCATTATGCATTAATTCGAGACGCACCTAATTAGAACCAGAGCTTATATTCAATCAGACTTGCCCGCAATATTAAATCCTTTACGTAATATGTCCAGTTTCAACAGCAAGCTCTGCTTGATCATCGGACTCGCTCATGAGCAGCACCAGCCATTGCAATTGTGTTCCATGCCAACAGCTACTTGTCTTTCATTAACCTGTTTTGACGTGACCAGTTTTTCATAGTACCTAGCTGTTTTTTCACAAAAACCCATTTTGACTGTAGCCCATTATTACTGTAACCCATTTTGACTGTAGCCCATTATTACTGTAACCCGTTTTGACTGTGGCCCATTATTACTGTAACCCGTTCTTACTGTAACCTGTTTTTACTGTAACCTGTTTTTCTATTAACTTGCTTTGCAATAACCTGAAAGTTGTCAAGCTGTAACCTGCTTTGCTATCATCTGTTTGATGGTATTCGACTCTTACAGGTATGGAGGTCTGACGTTGTTGAACAAGCGAAAGGTCGCGAGACTTGAGTTGAAGGGAAAGTCCGGGAAGCTATATGTTGCGTCTTCTGGTTTAATGTACTCAACATTGTGGATTGAAAGTTCTCTCAGAGGAGTTTGCAATTTCTTCAGAAGAGCCAAGTTAACATGCCTCAGTCTGCCAAGCCTCAGAACCTGCAAGCTTTTGCACAGCTTCAAGTCTCGCAGCAATTGGTCAGAGTCGAAGTTGCCCTAGAAAAAAAATTTCATTCAAAAGAGGGTCTCAGGATAATCTCTTTAATTCTTCAAATATTATCAAGGAATAAATTTCTTGAATAATTCAAAAATTTTCTATCCGTAAAATTTTGCTGAAGAATATATAATATAAAGAGAGACGCATAAAATGTTTCGTCCTACCATCGTGCCGATGGTATGAGAGTCCTGCGATGATACACAGAGGCAATCAGAACTAGGCAGAACAAGCAATATCTAAATTTCGCAATAAATTGGAAATAAAAAGCGGAAATTTCCTCTGTGCGCTCTGTGTTATCACAGGAGCGATTGACCATGAAAAAGGATATTTAAACAACGACATAACATAGAGGAAATGAAAAAATTGAAAAAAAAATTCAGAGCTAATCGCTAGGGGATAGAAGACTAAAGGCCCGTTTCCACTATGAGACTCTGCGAGACTGACGATTGAAAAACTGGCTTTTTCAGTCCGGACTGAGGCAGTCTGGACCATCGAGACTTGAGTGACGGCGAGTCAAGCGCTGTTCAATCTTTTACTGGACTTGCGTGACGGGCAAGGGTCAGTGTCGCTGTGACTTTCGTTCAAGGAGGGTGTGTGCTGGGCGGGCGCTCCAATAAACGCACCATTGCCTGCCTCTTTGCTTAACTGACCATGTCGCACGACGGAGACTGGAGCAGAGATGTCACTGAAAGGCTTATAGATTTATATAGAGAGGCACCTTGCTTCTAGCACGTAAAAAGCTTTTTTTACAGAGACAGAATATTGAGAATTAGAGAAAATAAGTAAAGAAATGGAGAAATTATATCCATTCACGAACATCGAAAAATGGAAATAATACTTCCTAACTTCTCATTGACCGATTTTATCTGTTTATTGACATAGATTCACTCGTCCGTCAATTAAAAACCTTAATATCTTATTGTCCTTACAGTGTATGTATACTCAGTAAATAAACACATTAACCAATAATAGTAGTAGCATTTGTGAAGCACGCTATGATACCTATCTAAATCTATGGACAAAAAATCAGACATGGTTAAACATTGTGACGTATTTATTACATTTAATTTTCTCGACACATTAAAGGTATAATAAGATAATGCTGTTTCTTAATCCCTTGGTGAATGCATGTTATTACACGGATAAACTATGTTAATGAACTTTAGGTCTCCACAAAAGGAAAAGGAAGCTGGAAAAAAACAGTTTTCTCTTTCTTAACGGTCAGAAAGTGACCGCAACATGAACTAAGTGTTCGTCAGCAAAATAAAGTCAATGTAAAAAATGTATTATGCTGACAATGCGTTATTGTTACAACTCAGACCTGCTTGTTTTATAGATGTGCTGATAACGGTATTTGCAGACAATTCTTACAGAAAACCATGCAAGATACATTGGTGAGGACAATACACAATGGCTATACTTCCCAGCATTGACAAATCTGCCGCACAAGCCTCACCTCGAGACACAAAGTCCTGAGTTTGGTACAGCCTCGGAAGATGGTCTTCATTTGAGTATAATGCTTTCTCCCATGCGAAAATTGCAGCAATAATTCCTCCAGGTTCACAGCAAGTCGACCTAAAATTGGAAGAAATATGAGCATTTGTAGTTAGTTATTTGGACAAGCATAGCAGTCCTTTGTGAGTTGAAGTAACTGTTAGAAACTTATAAACCCCGTTCCTGCATTTAGCATAAATCCCTCCATAACATTCATAGTTTTCTACAAACAAAAGGTGAAGAAACTATCGAATGGAGCAACATGAATGGAGCAATTGAAAATAACGCCAACGATGGTGTAATTAAAATGATGGTAATTAAATCTGCATGTCTTCTCATGCATGTCTGATTTGGAAGAAACGTGGACAAATTTACTGCGTACCTATAGCATCGAATACGTCGATATCAAAGACGCAAAGATACTCGTTGATACACAGGGTAGTGAGGTGGTTTGCATTCATGATGAGCATCTTGTAGGTGTAGAGCTTCATGTTCTGCGTGAGCTGGGCCGACGACTCGCTGAAATGCAACGCAAACAAGGCTACGCCGTCACTCAGTATCAATTACAGACAAGTGTTGCTAGAATGCAACGCAAACAAGGCTACGCCGTCACTCAGTATCAATTACAGACAAGTGTTGCTGAAATGCAACGCATCGTCAAAGTTGAATCCAAGATTTGCTTCATTCATGACAGATGAAATAAAAATATGAATGAAAAAATTAGGAAAATGTATAGAATAATATGAAGTAAAATAGAAACAAATCTATAAATAAAAATTAAAAGGTCTATGGAAATAAGTCAATGGAATTCAGGAAGTAGTAGCACAATGGTTAACTAGAGCTTAACCCTCTACCGCTGTATGTCACTCTCCGGGAACATAACTTTCAAATTAAATAATACTTAAACTATCTAGTGTAGCAACCTGAGGACGTTATTACGCAACAGAGAATATTTCCAAGTTGTTGTATGTTGCGGCAACCATCAGTGCAAGTCATTTTGCGCTCACTAGAACGTATCCCTTTTGTGAAGTTGGCTTGTGACAATATTGGCCCGGTTGCTCGTGGCAGGCGGTAGAGGGCTAAGCTATTGCAGAGCAGAAATCAAAAATAAACATCACCAGCAAAGCAGAAGGTCTCAATTATCCCAAATTAATTAAATTGTTCATTATCCAGACAGAACGGGAGGCTTCAATTCACCAGACCGCTAAAGCTGGCAAGAAAGGAGCAGGTTTAGCATCTCAAAAAGATGAAGGTATACAACGGGACAGGTCAAATGCAACAGCAACTAAGACACTCTTACAAGAGGTCTCTTCCTCGAGACGTCAACACGAGACAGGAAAATGAAATGCATGGAATACTTGCATAACAACTTAACCCCACAACTGAGACCCGCAGTCAGATCCTGCAAGCTCAGCGGTGGAGCGCTCAGGATCAATGACCCTAAAAATTCAAAATCCCATAGGACATCTGACGAGCATAGGCACGTCAGAAAGCCTCCCCTGAGGGGTGTCACTATGAAACGACAAAATTGCTTCCTTATAATAACCATCATGCAAAACACAATTATTTCCTTGTAGCGGCAGTCATGCCACAACACAATCACATCCGTCCACTTAGGTCGGCAAATCGCTTCAATGGCAGCCGACAAAGCCTACCTGCAGCCTTCAGGGCGGTTGAACCAAGCACGTCGCCAGGTGCACTCGTCATCATTGAAGTCTATGACGCTATTCTGGCCCAGCTCGCGGTAAACCAGCGACTGGAAGCGCCGACACACTGCGTGAAATATGAACAGAGAAATAAATTATAAGAAGGCAGAACACTGCTAATTACTGCTAATCACGCGGCTAGAATACTGCTAATTACGCGGCCCCCGATCTCTGCCGCGACAGCCGCGTCTACGTCGTGGGGGTACGCTGGCCTGCGCGCCGGCCGGATGCCCGGCTTACTCGCGGGTCAGGCCAAACGGCAGAGGTCCCCCCGCATGGATCGCTGCCGGACGGAGGCTCCTCTCTTCATTTTTTCACTAAGGGGTCGGGGAACCTCGGCCTCCCCTTCCCTCTACCCACATCTTAGGCCGCCTATCTTTCCAGGGGCACCTTATGCTCTCCTCTCCTCCCATCTTTTCTTCCTACTCGTCCTTCTTCTCCTGACCCAGGGTATCCATACCAACCCTAGCCCGCACCCCTGCTCAGTCTGCTCCCTCACAGTCACGTGGCGAGGATATTCGTTTCTGTGCTCCAAGTGCAATGCCTGGACCCACAAGCGATGCTCCGGCCTGCGCTCCATTAATTTCTACTCCGAAGACTGGATCTGCCCTACGTGCAGACGGTCTGACCCGATTCNAAGTGTAGGCTGCCCACTGCATGCAGGGCTCAAGTCAAACTCTTCTCTGGACAACTTTAAAGGCTTGTAGTGCTTCGAGCTGGGTCGTGATGTGTCCTTGTCATGAGCTTGCCTTACGTATGCTTTTTGATTTTCAAAGAACGTTGCGTCGTAATAACTCAAAATTCTGAAAAATAAATATTTGCGGTATAGTTTAAATAAAAAATATTTCTATCATGTAAAATGAAAGAAAAACTTTCGTATGGTTTCCAATGCCACCTTGAAAAAAATCTAAGGATTCAGTGTCTTTGAGATCAATACAGAGAGTCCTATGGATTCCGGAATAGAACTATTCCTTTCTAAGCCATCCTTTTCTATATTCAGGCAGAATAAATACCTGTGTTTCACTAGCTTCCAACACAGCAACAGAGACAAGAAGTTATCTACTCAAGTAGTCAGCCAAACTTTCAACACAGAAAGGAGATTCTGGCTGCATAACATAACTCTGCAACCCAGACCCAGTCTAATACCACAAGCACAGTGTTGATATATTTATAACCAATGTCCCTGAAAGCACAAAATCACTTTGAAAACTTTGAAAAAGCAACATCTCAATAAGAGAGTTTTCAGATAGAACCGCTCGTTGGATAGATCTATTTGCCTTTAGTGGCTAGAAGGGACCAACTGTCAGGCCGTGATGTCATTAGCGACTATTACGTCACCTTCTGTGACGTCACTACTCGCGGGTCACCGCGTATTATAAGCTCGGAGAGCGCACTGCCAGTCAGTCATAGGCGGTAGGCAGTCATCATAGAGCCTGCAAACTCTAGACGAGCTCACGTCGTCTTAGACTCCGGCACTCGCAGCCAACACGCAGTGTCGTTATACTNGGTCGACGGCCAATGAATATTTAATATGTTATTCGGACAATTATAATGAACCCAAACCCCTCAGGTTTATCTACAATAGATCAGACAGATCCTTCCAAGGTTATGACAGAAATATAAACTTGGACAGTGGCACACCAGAACATAGTGTCCTCATAAATTTGACACCAACTAATTACAAGTTATACAAGAGCATTAAGGCAGAGTTTACTTAGTGTTATCAAGAAGGTAGGATGTTGTCGCAACAGAATTTTAGTACATCAGATGCTATTCATTTTTCAACAGTGCAAATTTGATAGAGCTTGCACATATGAAGTCAAAGTAACAGGCTGTTGATTGAATAAAACGTCAGACTTGCCATGTTAGAAACATTCTACAATATGGCTGTTTGTATCTAGAATTGATAGTTGTTGCTATAGAAAGTTTTGAGAATAAAGTTTTTCATCTACAAAAACTTGTTAGTAATTCATATAGAGTCTAGAAAGACTTATGTACAGAACTTACTGTTGTATTAGTTGTGTGAATTGAAATAAATTCATTGGAATCTATGAAATAACAAGGAGTTGAAATAAGGAAATAAAGGAATAACTGAATTAGTATAAAGCAGCTGCAGTGATACCTTCCATTAAAAAAACAAAGTTGAGATAACTGCCACTGCCTTAGTATTGTTTTCCAAAGCCGCGCAATTGAATTTTAATGAGCTTCACCTTCTTATAATAGGAAAATTAACATAACATAGTGATGTGGACGCTGAAGTGTAGGCCTGATGTGGCCTGTCGCCGATTCTTTTCCTTTTCGTGCCTTGTTCATAGATCTAAACTCGTGTCATTTGACGGATCTTTTCATGACTGACGATAGTTTGAAGTAGCTACTAGACTTCCACCGGGTTCGATAAGGAGCTAGGCATTTCAAATCTGAACATATATTTTTCCATAGCTTTATCTAGTCTGTTCTTGAACGCGTTCATACTTGGGAGCGCCAACGATGTCATTGGGGAGGCTGTTCCACATGTCGGTGATTCGAAGCGAGAAATTTTGTCGCGTGGAGAAGTTGCAGCGCAGTTTTTTTAGCTTATAGCCGTGGCCCCTGGTGTTGGTTCTTGTTTCAAATTCTAGTAACCCTTCAGGGACCTTGTATAGACCATGAGTATACTTGTATACTTCAATGAGGCCCCCACGAAGACGTCGATAACTGAGGCTTGGAAGCTTCATAATCTATGCCTAGCTCCTTATCGAACCCGGTGGAAGTCTAGTAGCTACTTCAAACTATCGTCAGTCATGAAAAGATCCGGTCAAATTACACGATTTTAGATCTATGAACAAGGCACGAAAAGGAAAAGAATCAGCAACAGGCCACATCAGGCCTACACTTCAGTGCCGACATCACTATGTTATGTTATGTTAATTCTTAATATTGGCCAGATACTCATCCACATATATATATTCCCAGTTCTGACTTTAGCCATTTCTTTATACCTGTATCAAGTTTTTCCAGTTGTAGCATTATCTTTCTATTAAATTAAAATAAATTATTTGGCAAAAGTTCCTAATCCAACTTCAAACATCATATCAAAGAATACAGCAGAAAATGTGCAGATATTCTGCCTACTGGTAGAGTCCATACTGCATATTAATTGTATAAATAAGAAACAAGTGTGAAGTAGCAAGATTGCAAAAATTTATATGGACTCAATTGGAATTAAGAATGGACTGGTCAATATATGTTCACTGATATTATGATAACGATAATGACATTGCAAATGTCATCTCCATTTAATAATTTACCGACTTTTTTATAAGGTTGCTATCTGCAGATTTATGAGTTGGCTAGTAACCCTTTCAGAGGTATTGAGGTTTGCAAGTACGATAGAACAAGTAAGTAAATTGGAATAAAGGCCAGCAATGTAGGCAATAGTATTCATGTGTAATTAATGGTCTTTGGAGTTGGTTGAACAGAAAAAGTGATACAACATTCATTTATATTACTAAGAGCCCCTAAATTCATAATTTTTTACAATTAGTTGAAGAAATTATTATGCTCTCACAACTTACAAATCGCTTTCATGCCAGCTGCTGGGTACAATGATGGCAGAGGCAGACTTCTTGCCTGGCTCACGTTTCGAAGTGATGCGGTCTTGTGAAATGCCAAATCCCTTTGCTATTTCATCATCAGTAACCTGGTATTTAAATTTAAAAAATTTTTGACATGTAAAGGTTCAAAAATAAAACATTATCAATCACAAAATAGCTATTTTCTAACAAACAAATCATTGACAGCTGCAGTAATGGTAAAACAAGGAATTAGATTGTCAGTTGAATAATAGTTACTTCTCGGTTGTCAGACTAGACAGAGAAGGCATATACTATGTTCATGAACAAAAATAAATAAATTGCCATCTTAAAATTATTTTTGACAATTTAAGCCCTTAGGCCTCATAAAATGGAAAAAAATATTTGGAGAGGAAAAAAAATACATTTATAAGATCTATTTTTAAAATCTTACCATTTCCAATGAACTTGAGTCTATCAAACAAATTATTGTGAACTAGAGACACAATACATCATTTTAGAATGCCAATGTGTTGCATAATCCTGTCTGCTGCAACCTTTCAAAACTGAACTTTCATCCAAACAAATGTAAATACAAAATACACAAATTAATTGCCAGAATGATACAAACAAAATCAACAAATCATACAAAATATGATAGAAAGAAACATAGTTATACTATGTTTTGATATGGAGTTGAGTCAATACAGACCAGGAGGTATCAAGACATTCAAGAGTTAACTTACCGATGCAGGTATATTTCTAACATATATTCTTAAGGGTGCAAGTTTAGAGGTGAGTTGTGGAACATTATCCCACCAAAGTCTGATTTGACCTGCTCAGTGAGGAAAATGAAATAATTGAGAGCTAATTAATGCAGAATTGAGATTAACCAGCTAACTTCTTCCAGCCAAATTTCTGAAAGTTAAATTTATTCTCTACTCCTAAGTGAAAAATAACATTATTTATAAAATGTATTCATTGTTGTTAACTGCAAGGCAATAAGGTTAAACTACAACTGTTAGGCTTTGTTCTGCATTGCTACTTTTAATGTTTATTTAAGATAAAATGGTAGGTTATAGTTAATAAACAATGCTAAAGTTACATGATATTTCAAGTACATACAACAATTTTGCAACTTATTTCTTTGTTCTGTTATTCTCTCTTTTCTTTCAAGGAAAGGCGTTATTCTATCAAAATTTCATCCATAAAATTTAGTCATTATTTCATATATATTAATAAATTTCTATGATATAAATAAATTGAAATAACGATCACAATGAAACATTATCAAGGTCTGTTGATGTCTTCATGTACATACTTATAGCAACAAATTGTTGCAGGAGAAAAAACTTTCCAGGAATAAAATTTTGACACAAGTGAAAATTAATTACACACACAAAAACTAATTATTGGCTAACAGTAGCAGGGACAAGAGACCATCATTAATTGTGCTTAGGTGTGCCAAGGTATCATTGGTACCCTAAGGTTTTTATGCAAATTGACGTGACCATGATGCGTAGTTGTGTTTGTAGGTACTGGGTCTCTTCTTGTATTGGCTCCTTGAAATACATGTGCCTGTCCCTGAGTTTCACTGCCTCAATAGGAAATTCAAAATGAATAAGAAATAAATTCTATTAAAGCTATAAATGACAGGGCAACAAGTGACCAAATAGCTGTAAATAACAGGCCAACAAGTGACCATTTGAAGTAACAAGTGACCAAATAACCAAATTTAGTTGGACCACTGGACCCAGTTCAAGCCTCCAATCTTCTGCACTATTTGCTGCTCTCATCTGCACCTAAGCAGTGGAGATTGGTTATATTTGTAGTACAAGGCATGGCTTTAAAGCAAGTACCGGTATAGTTTTAAATACCTTGCTGAAACACTGCGACTGCTGTTTACCCCATGAAAGCCATTGTTATCAGGAGGTTTCATGTCAAGAGCTATTATCATATTTATTTTTTTCCACTTAAACCATACTTGCTAATAATTCAATTCTCCTCATGCTTAATGAAATTATTTTTTCCACTATTGTTTCATAGCAAGTCTAATTACTAAATTCCAAATGAATCAAATATATACCTAATCTGCTGAAAGAGCTGATATCATACCAAGTTCCACTCTGCAATACAGTTTGGTGAGTGAAGCTTTTCCAGCCAAGTTATTGAGTTCTAGTTAATTTTCTTACTTCCCACATATCCATTTACCATGTGCCTTAATTGCCTGCATTATATAGTGGCAGCTATTAATGTTTGCACACGTTCATGGTACAAGAGGTACTCTACTCAACGGTTATGCAGTTCTTGTGTAACCTTCATTACTTTAATTATATAAGTCTTGGGCAAGTCTGCACTACATTTCTAAGCATCTTAGCTGCCAATCATTAATTCACTAATTCCTAATTTCCTCAATGATTGACCATTCCCTTGGATTCAGCATGATTGATTCAAGTTATATTCTGAAATTTTAGCATGAGGCAGATTAAAATCCCTGCTTGGCATCAAGATCTTTCAATGTTGCTTGCAGTAGTTATTATTATTTTTAAAGCTTTCAGCAGTGTGCCTTGTGAGAAATTGCCTGCTTGTGCTTCCAGCTTACTTCTCTTAAGTTGCTCCCAGAACATTAACCTCTACTCAATTTTATTACACTCAATTACTATCTTTGAGTTGATGTTATCATTCTCTGTTCTTGTTTTTCTGACCTTTTCAACTTTTGTAATACCATAAAATTCAGCATAAACTTGACAGTTTTTTTACTTACACCATTATCAGACCAATTCAGCTTCTACTGCAAAAACTGAAGTAGATTAAAAGTCCCCTATCCCAGTGGTTGAAATGGGAACACTGTGTGGCTAGCCACATATGACATTACAGAACCATGCAATTGAGTCTACATCTGTTAATGGGATTTTAAAATGCACCCAACAATTGAGGATAATGCTGATTGCAAAGCGTGTGCTGCAAAATGGTTTCTTTCTGCTCAAGGCTTCAAATCAGTTGACAATCATCACCAAATAAGTGAAGCATATTGTGACAACATTTATGAGTGACATGAATGGTGCACAATGAGGAATGAAGTGGGAGACCTACAATCATTACAATGATATGATAAAAAATTGATCTATAAAGAAAATGAGTACCATTCATGATTTTTTCCTCATGCAGCTAGAAAGTTTCCTACTGTCTTGTTTGTTTGTGCACCTGAAGCAGCATCTGGTGGGGCAGCACTATTCCTGCCATTTTTAGAATTGCAAGATTTCCACTAGATGAATCACCTCCAATCTAATTGTTAACAAAAGTACACAATTGGGCCATAAGAATTCAAATATATAAAAAATTTCTCACTTAGGAGCCATGAAATTTCAGCAACAAGTAGGAAAATTTCTTTCCTGCCAACAATACTCAAAATTACACAAGTTAGGCCCATCTCTTGTGAGAGGTGGTGCAAGTGCGCTGAAGACCATTGGTTCTAAAGCACACACTTGTAAAGGAGCATTGGTTCTAAATCTCAAAATACCATGTTCTTCTATACTACCTAGAATTGCACCATGCAGTGGCAGCCAACCAACCCTCATGACAAACTAGAGATTTCTTTGGAATCAATTAATTTTTATTCCTAATTTACTTGAGATTAAAACCAATATCTTATGCACGATAATGATGGTATCCACAATACTATACTGATCTACTTATCAGTTCTATCTACTCAGTTATCAACATCTGCGTGGAGAACTCATTAAAGCATACAAGTATACTCATGGCTTATACGTACAAGGTCCCAGAAGGATTACTAGAATTTGAAACAAGAACCAACACCAGGGGCCACAGCTAAAACTAAAAAACTGCATTGTAAGTTGGCACTATGCCATCAGTCCTAGAATTGCACCATTGACTGCAATTTTCATTTTCTAAAATCATAAAATATATTGTTTAATGATTTTAGGTCATTAAGGCACAAGAATTTTTTCTGATTTAGATCATAAAGGGCTTCATAGTTATAAAACATATTGTTTAATGCAAACTACTTTCATATGGAACTTGGCACATTAGATGATTAGTCAAACTTGAAAGTTCATAGGTGACGATAGCAAACAAGAGTTTTTAAGAAATAAGTTCATTTTTAATTTGATGATTAGTTTAAATTTTAATTCAAAATCTATGTATGATAAAGCTGGCTACTGGTATACACGATACTTTACTGGTCTACCTACTAAGAGGACTCAAAAAGGAATAGTCTGAATAAGTCTCCACTTGGCCTCTATACTTAAAGCATAGGAAACTTACCTCTTTCTAGCTTATGACCCCATTCCATTTCAGAGGCTTTTATTTCAATAAAGACTAACTTAAATGGTTTTAAATTCCAATATTGAGGTTAAGAAAGATTGACCTTTATTTCTGTAAAACTTGTAACTGTAAGCATTAACATAATGAAATTCAGAACAAAATATCTAAACAGGTGCTGGCATATGCAGCACCCCAGTGGTGCTCTTTAATTAGAATAGAAAATAAAGAGTGAACTCTGGTAATTGCTAGTGTTGTGAAGTTAAGGAAATCCTTCCTTAGAACTCAAAATTCCCCCACAGCACTGTTTGTTCCAGCCTAGGGCTAGACTAGAATTTCAGTTCTCCCACAGGCCACAGCATTGTTTGAGCCAGTCAAGTGGCTAGAGTAATTCCAATTTCCAATTAGCTAGGCACTAGGCCTAATTCCAATTTAATTCAACTAATAAGTAATCCCAATTTTAAGTTAACAAAAAATTGAGATAAAGTTTTGTGAAAATAGGTTAGACCTAATTAAATTAGGTGACGATTTTTAGCTAGATCCTGAAGCCGCTGAAGGCTGAAGCTGGGTGTGAATCCCAGTCTGATTAAGAGAATCAACCACATGATGTTGGTAACATATGGAATTCAGGAGTTAGGCTAGTTAAGTTATAGGCTAAGCCGCTAAGGTGAATTACCATTAGTGAATTCCTCCAATAGCATTAATTAATTTCTTGATAGTCGTCAATATTATGAGTTTTTGACCCCTAATTGAGGCTAATATGTTAGCTCATAGCCTATTTCTGATTAACTCGTAAAATCTTTATTATGTAACCTAGTTAACTGGAAGTTCTTAATCATCAATTTTCAAGCAATAATAACTATTAGCGATAATTAGCCTAGAGTGATTTTTGAATAACGACATACTTATCATTCAGACATGTCAAAATACTTTGTCTTTTGGTTTAGTTATTTTGTCATCAGGTCTCGAGCATATATCTTATATAACACTCATTATTCACTCACGCCTTTTAACCCCGTATTACATTGTCTGAGTGAATCCTCCCCAATAAATAAGATAAACGTCCTCTTTGTAAACCCTCCATACCACCTAATTTCGCCGGTATAAAGTCCAGGGTTGCCAGATGAAGCCGAGAGAAAAAGGCCAATTTGGCTCACAAAAAATGCCAAAAAAAGGCCCCATTTGAAATTAATAAGAAATTTTTCGATTTACGGTAGTTCTAACAATTTGCAATGCATGCATTCACTCTCAAGGCTTTCAAACAGCAAAAAATACACCAATTTCACCACGTGTACGAGCTGAATTACCGTCAATGCTACATAAGCCGCCGCCCGCCACGCGCCGACCGTAAATAAACATACTTACTTGGTTACTTGGTTATGATCACTGATCAGTTCAGCAGGGAATTCAGGAGTCATAAGCGAAGACAAGCAGAAAGGAACCGAGAGGCGAGCGCATGCGGATTTCAGCTGGTCACATTGAGGAGACGGTACCGGACAGCTGATGAAGAGGTGTTCAAGGGTGAGGCGGCTCTGACATGTTGTGCACTGGAGTCGGGGGGATCTTAAGAAGTGATGGCCGTGAGTTAATAGGCACACTCCTAGCCGGAGCCGCGTGATTGTGACTTGGTAAGGCCGAGGGAGAGGTTGCTGAGTTAGTGGGCCTAGTATTGGCTTGAAGGAAGTCAGTTCTTGTGGTTGTTCAGTCCATGCTCTCTGACATATGCTGCGAAATGAGTGTGTGATGAGTCTTCTCACGTCAGCAGAGCTATAGGGCATCTGGGTGATTTGGGCAAGCTCCAGTGAGGCACGGGCAAGTCCGTCAGCAGCTTCATTGCCTTTTATTCCAACGTGTCCAGGTACCCACTCCAAGGTAAATTTGTTCGGTATTGTAGTCATAAGCAGGTTTTGTATCCAAGGCACCAAGTGATGTCTGGAAGGGTTAGCTGATCGGGATGCATGCCGGAGGCCAGCATAGCCCAAGACCAGCATATCCTTCATCCTCCTTTCCGTGCGTAAGCCTGCTAAAGGGCAGAGTAGACTAAGGGATTACAAGTTAAAAGCCAAAGGTACAAATCCCCTTCATGGAAATTAACCAGCGAGCTAATGAGAAGTAAGCCACCAATACAATCGCTCTACGCCGTATTGAAAACCGTCCAACAGCTCTATCCCATGCCGTCTAACCTCCTCACGATTTTCGGTAAGCAACTCCCTACGCCATACCGCTGTTGATACACAGTCAGCACTCCAGCCCGTCCGTTCGTCGCAGCTGTTTTCCCCCGCCATAACTCTACCTCCNAAATCATTAACTGGAGCTGTTCTTGATGTGTTGCTTTGTCTCGGCAGAATAGTGGTTGGTGGTGCTGGATTTGCTTCCTCGGCTTGGACTCTGGCTCGAGCAGCTGCAAAGCTGATCCCTTCCTCTGCCGTGAGGTGGCAGGCACGGATTTCAGCCAGGTATTTTGGGCACTGCCTGGAAGTAGCATCATGGGGGCCTTTGCAGTTTAGGCATTTTGGGGGCAGGGAAGAGTCTGGGCAGCTTTCTCTGGTGTGACCCTCTCTACCACAGTGGCTGCATGAGGGTTGCTTGTTTGAACACTTTAGGCGGGAGTGTCCATATCTGCAGCAGAACCCGCATCTTAGCGGGTTAGGATAATACCTGTCTACTCTGACATAACAGTATCCTATCTGTATCTTGGAGGGTGGGGTTGGACTCAAAAAAGTTAGTACAAAGAGTGGGACATTAGATTTTGCTGGATCAGATAGGAGCTTTCTCACTCCCACAACTTTGTTGGGTCTCAGAATGGACAGTAGGTATTCTAGGGACTCACCTTGCAGTTCTGGAGCAAAGATTTTACCGTATGAAAATTGGGAGGACCAAGCAACTGTGGTTTCAACCGGAATTGGGTTGTCTGCAGGAGTAAATTCCTTTATTTTTGTTATTGCATGCACTTGTTCCAGTGTTTTGGTGGTGACCAGCAAGGATCCATTGCGTAAGTGTTCTATTTTTTCAACTGGTCCACAGATCATATCAGTAGCCTTTGCAATGCGGAACGGATTTATCTTTGACAAGTTAGTTATTCCATCCTTAGCAGTGATCAAGATTTGCCGGATGTTCTTTCCTGCATTTTCCAGGTGTTCTGGACAGTTTAGATTCACTCTTGCTGATGTTGGTTCAGCAGTTTGCTTCATGCTAGTCACATTAGTATCTAGAGTTAATTGATTTTTCTGTGTTAGTTGGTTGGGGGGGCTGGTGCTGGTAGAGGTTGGCTTGGTACTGGTTGCTGTATCTCCTCTTGGTCTTGGTGTTGGATCTTGTCTCTCTTGATGATGCACTGTTTCATCTGCACTGTCTGATAACACTCCACTTATTATTGAGTCGGCATCGTTTTCCTCCATGGAATGGGTGTTTGCCACTAGTCCTGGGGCTATGGCAGCATGCTTGCTTGTCGCAGCCAGGCATAGATCTGGCGCTGATTTTTTCTTTATGCTGGGAGTGGCAGCAGGAAAAGCCATCCTTCTTTTTCGCGATTGGCTTGGTTCGTTCTTGCTTGTCGATGATGGTAATGGTGTGGGCGTTTTTCTGCTGCTTCCGCGCCTTCCAATAATGGTGGAGTCTTTGGGTCTCCCTTCTGCAGAAGGGTTGTCATTTTCATGACGACCCTCCATTTAGGAGGTATCCTCTCTTGTATTCTGGGTGGCGGTTTAGATTCACTTCTCAAGGGTATAAGAGACAAAAGTTTTCAGTTAGTTAAATTTAACTAACACACACCGTTTGGAAGCCGGCAGATTTGGTCTCAATAGAATTAGCACCACCTTTCACTGTGAACTCTCGATTGAAACTGCCCGTAAATAAACATTATATTACATGATATTTAGGATTTGATTGCCACCTAACAACTATGAAGCTTTTCGTTCGCGTTAGAGAGTTTTAGCTCAGTTTTGCTAACCAAATAGATAGTGAAGTGAGTGAAGTGACAGGCGACATATGTGATGTGGTGAAGTTTTTGGCATGGTTGAACTAATATAAAGTTGACACACGGCGATGACGATTTTTCGCCATTCTGCGCATCTCTAGAGTGACGTTACTGTGGTCACAAAATGTAAATAGTGTAGATCAACACATTGTTTTTATGTCATCTCAGAAAGCATTTAAAAAAAAAATCTGCCTCATCAAAATGGCCCCAAAAAATTATTTACTGCATGCAACTAGTCTTATTTTAAGCAGAACCGGTATTACAAATCAGTTGGCGCCGCGAGGTGACGTCACAAGAACCAAGGTGACTTCACAGTTGGAATAACAAATGACATCCGCAAGGCGCAGCTGCACTAGGGTATTATTATTATTATTATAACATTTTATATTATTATAACATTGTATAATTTCAACCATGAAAAATATTAACCTCATTAAAATAGCCCCAAAAAGATATTCACTGCAACTAGACTTATTTTAAGCAAAACAGGTGTTATAAATCAGTATGAATCACACTGTAACGTCACGACAACCAAGGTGACATCACGGGTGGAATAACAAACAAATGACATACGCAAGACGCAGCTGCGCGTGGGTAAACCTTGTATTAGTTCAACAATGGTTTTTGGCATTGATGGTAGAATATTTATATGCGGAAGATGAAAATAAATTTAAACTCATTTCTGCGGTATAAAGATGATGTGGTCCTTGCAAGTTGCAAGACTGTGATGTGGCGAAGTTTTTGGTATTGACGGTAGAATATTTATACGCGAAAATGAAAATAAATTTCAACTCATTTCTGCGGTATAAAGATGATGTGGTCCTTGCAAGACTAAGGTAAATATTAAAATTCAATCCTATAAATTTATCACAACTTTTTAACGCACAAAAAATATATATTGCCTATCGTAACTTAACTTGGAGGGGAGTAGTTATTGTATTTATTCAGAGTGAAATTTTGTAGTGACTCACACTAGAAGGCTGAATGTATCGAGAAACAGTGCTGTAACCTCAAAATTTAGTGGTTAATTTACTACTCTTTAGAAGTGAAAACTATACTCGATTATATGCGCTGTCAGCTCTGCCATAAATGGTTATTTAATAGGAGTCGGCAATTGGATATAGTCCCATGGTTCTACCAAAGGGTTGCCCGG